GAGGGCGAGTGTGCAGAGTTTGGGGTTTTGGGGTTTTGTTTAGATGAAGCAGAGCAGCCTCATCACCCTCAACCTGCACGTTATCTTCCAGGCTAATACTTCCTGAGGACCAGAGGAGTGTGATTGCGAGGGTGAGTGTGTGCTGCGGTCTCGCATGAGGGCTTTACGCTGCCTACGCCTCGAACGGTTCTGGCAGATGCGATTGCACTTGAGCTGCATTCTCCTTGAAATTGCCTCTTTGGGAACACGTCCAGTACAACAGGTTCCCTGGCAGCAGAAACAGGACGATCGCTGTATTCACCAGACTATCTGGCTAAATAACAAATTGGGAAAGAACAAATGCAGAATTGTCATCCAATTAAGCAATTTGTGGGAGTGCAAGTGATCCAGAGGGAGCCTTTTTGTGACTGTCCTGGATTTTAAAGCAAATTGTTTCCATTTTTGAGCTAAAGGTAACTTTCTTCCAAAGACTGGTCTAGACTTCCGTTTGCTATCGAGAATATTGCCGGCTTATGAACATAACAGTGTTTGATGGAGCTGCTCTGTCCACTTCAAACAGAATCCCTTCAATAGGAACCCATCGTTTTGTCTGTTTATTTGATTTAAAAGGCTTTTATGGTTTGGTATTGAGGGGAAAATGGCTCTATTAGTGGCTTATGAGATGCTGAAAGAACGACTGCGATGCTCTCTGCACTTCTTCCTCTCTCAGGCTTTTTATTCCACTAATGATTCAAACACAAACGCACGCTCCCACCACACAGCGCAGTCGGAGCCCCTCTAAGCCTGATTCTCAGTCGGAAAACAATGTCAAGCGTAACATTCACAGACAGAATACGCATTAATCCTTAATTGGCATTTGAGTTACAGTTGAGAAAGTACTAATTGTTCTGCACTCCAAAACTCCTGTATATCTGCTTATTGACTTTTTTAAATAACTCGACTACTTTGCCTAATCTAGCTCTTCTTTTCTTATTGAAATAATCGGCAGCTGAGCTACTTTAACTTCACATCTGATTACTACGCTATGAAAAGTAAAGGAAAACAAAAAAAGTACCGTACTTAAAGTTCTTTATAAACTATAGATGGCGTTTCTCTAACGTGAAAACACAACAGAACTCTTTCAGACAGCACTTTTACTGGCAACGATCCCTGACCTGCACAACCTGCACACTCCCTCGCTGACAGATATGACCACCGAACCAACTTCAAGTGACCATATACGAACACATAATGACCAATGTCAATGTGTGGTTGAAAAAGAAGTACGTTTTGGTTTTCAGCAAGTGCGTGAAAGTCCAGTGGTCCAGAGAAAGCCTTTGACACTTTGGTCAATGGGGACACCATTTTATATATATATATATATATATATATAATATATATATATATATATATATATATATATATATATATACAGCACTGTGCAAAAGTCAGAGACCACCCTTCATTTGTTTAATTTCTAGTCATAAATTATTCATTTTTCAGGAAATGTTTCTGAGGAGATTAGATGTAAGATAATCCACTTGTATGAAGACGGAGAAAATAAGTAAGAAGGAGTTCAAAAACTGAGTAAAAGCTACAGAGAAAATGAGATTCCTAACAACCACCTGCAACACCTGGTAGACACCAAAACCGTGAGTAAAGCAAATAGACAAAAAAGAACATTTACAAGCTGTTGTTGTTCTCAGAACAATGGACTGACCACCCCAGAGTCCAGACCTCAACACCACTGAATGAGTTTGATTACTTCAGAAAATGATCAACCAGCTTCTAAGACTGAACTTTGGAGGTGTGTCTGCAGATTCTTTGAGGAACTGAAAGTGAGTCTCCTGAACAGAATGGAAGCTGGAATAAAGGAAGAGAGTGACTCACTGAAGACTCAGACAGCTGAGATTAGATTTAGTTGTTGAGGTTTCTGTGTTATTTTCTGCTGCTAAAAATGAAAAATGACTTTTGCGCAGGTCTGTTCATATACAGTCATATGCAAAGGTATAAACATCCTGGTCAAATGACATTTTGTTGATTTTCTAAGTGAATCTTCTACAGGCGACAAACTTAAATATGGCAATTTCCCGCAAATTTTATTTACTAAATTTAAACTTTTGCTCCACAATTAACGTTATTTTGCTCCAACATATTAAATTCGGCAAATAAACAGCAACTGTGGATTAAAATGTGCAGAAGTGTGCTCTCTGTAGAGGATGTGTTCACTTATTTTCACACAGAAAATCAACAAATACTGTACGTTATTTGACCAGAGTACCCAAACTTTTGCACAACATGAGGTGTGCTCAGGGACCAAAGAGACTTGGCACTTCTCACTCAGCGCTTAGTTATGAGGCATGCTTGATCCAAGCTCACCTTTGAACTGATTAAGGACGTTTAACATAGAAAAAAATCCTGTTGCATTTATCCCCCTACCCCCCAACCCACCCCACCACCCGTCCCCCAAATTTCAAGCTTAAAAAAAGGATCAGGGTACCAATCCCTGATCGCCAACCTTGTGGAAACGTCGAAATCTCTTAAGGTGACGTTCGGATGCAGATGTTGTGAACGGTGTTTGTGTGCATGTGTTTCCTATTCTACATTAACTCTACAGAAACCGAGTGCTACTATACAGATCCTGTGAAATTTACACCCAAAAAATATCGTCTTTGTAAGTTCATCATTTTCATAACGACGTATTTTCCAATATGACTTTACAAGTGATTTACAGGTGTCTTATATTCAAAATAGTTCCTCAAAGTCTCCGAGGAATTAAAAAAGCTCTATTATTACAGCAAATAAATAAGAAAGGAGGAAAAGAAGAAGAGGTCGTATCTTTGGAGGGATAGCAGACTCAGAAAGGACTTTTTTCTTTTTCTTTTTTTTGTCTTCTTTACAGTTTTAATGTGTCTACAGGTGGCAGGTGGGAGGCGGGAAAGCAAAGCTGGTGATACTTTTTCACCTGCCGGTCGAAGGAAAAGCAAGGTTGTTCACCTTACGGCACAGACGAGGGAGGAAAACGCAGCCGTGGCTGGCGGACTAACGCACCAGGTAAATGCGCCTCGTGTCGCTTCTTCCTCCGAGACAGCAGCGTCGTAATGAGAATGTGTTGTTTTCCACGTCTATGCTGTATTTTCACCCTGTTACAAATAGGTTTTGTGATCATAACATCATAACAAAAGCATATAAAGCGTTACATTTGGGTTGCATGCCACTAGTATTATTTTTCATGTAATCAAAATACATTTTCTTACGGGGTGGGGTTATTATAAGGGTGTAAAATAACAAAAATAAAGCCAAGAATCAGTTTGAAAATAAAAAAAAAACTATGAATGTCATACATGGTTACAAGACCTTGATATTTTACATGTGCATATTGCTTACACGATAGCTTCTTCAAGCAGCACTTAATATGATATACATGTTCATGATAATGAGATACAAGATACTCAAGGCGTTCAATAAAGGAGCTCAGAACGTTGGGTAAGCTGAAAAGAAACACGGGGAGTATTCATCTGGGAGGGGATGATATGAAAACATTAGCTGCCCAGCGCAGCGTCAAACGTCTGTCAATCAGCGTGGTCGCGCAATACCTTCGGCTCTCTCTGGACACATAAGAACAAATCGACGGCTTCCGCTTTTTCGCAACGCGAGCCGCAGCCGTGAGCTCCGAGCTCAGCTGGACTGAGGCCAAATGAGCCACAGCTCCTCTCGCCTCTCTCGCATCTAATTGCGTTTCCATGAGCGCTCGTGTGAAAGTGACTGCCCTGGAAGACCTTGGAACGAGTAAACAACTGCAGCAGAGGGGACAGAAAGAAAGAACCCACCAAGTTTAGCACGCTGAACCTGTCGTCTGGTGCCGCATACATAAACGGAACTATCCTGAGGTATCTGATTTGGCTGCGTGGTCTAATTCACCTTGCCGTGTGGTGCAAATAGGCTTTTGCGGCTCTGTTTGAGCCTTCTGAGTGGCCAATGTTCTCGTTCAGACTTCAAGCTTACCCAAGGTTTCACATGCAGAGCGCTTTTGAAATGTACAAATGGCAACAAGAACCTTCTCGTCAACAGAAGTAAACAGTCTTTCTGGAAGAAATGCTCGAATTCGCAGTTTCACAGTGAACAAAATCGAAGCGGTCGGCATGAACACGTCACACAGCGTAGGTTCCACCCCAAGAGCTGTCAAACCAAAAATCGTCAGTACCCTGTTGTTGGACAGAGAACGAAATATTCCCAGGAAGATGGTCACGTGCTTACCGAGGACTTACGTAGTACAGGTCAAGCTTTCAAGCACCTCAGACAAACGTTCAGATGTGTTTTCGTCTCTAATAACGAAATAAACGAAACAAAATAAAACATGCAAAATAATCTATTCCAAACGGTACTTGAGAAATACTTGAAGCAGAGAGAGATGGGAGGATAACTAATGATTTATTGTGCTACCACATAAGCTAAGATTCTAAAGGTCTAAATAGGGATTCGAGTGCCAAAATCCCAAAAATCTATAGTAATAGAGAATAAAAGCACAAATGCTATGCTCTCACTGCTTCGAGTGCCATGATCGGAACACCTCCGCTTGCCTCAGGTTAACATATTTCGGTAAACAACCCCTAAAGCCAGGCTGATTCAGGTAAGCTCTCTTTCTGTGAAGAGGCCAGCGCAGGGTGGGGATATACCTGAGCGACCTCAGAATGCGCTCTGCTCCCCCCGCAAATTGGAAGGGACTTCAAAGCAGTCCATCTGTCTTGGCATTTGCGGGGTCAGCCAGCTGGGGCTCCCACTAGGGATCCACCGGCTAATATACATGACTAACTGGCCGTCCACGATCAGCCCAGGAAATATTCACGTTCCTAAAAGGGTGACTAAACAAATGCCCCAAAAACCTTTGGCAAGCGCTATCCAGGATGATACATGAAAGAGTGATATCTGCAAAAGAGAGAGTACTTGTCTTTTTTCTGTTTTTTTTAAAAGATGTGGGCGACTATGGTATCCTAAAGTGAGTAGATATTTCAACTACACAAAGAGAAAGAGCATTAAACGTCTGACTCGAGACTAGGTATTTTCTTATACACTCGTCTATTGCTGAACTGAGAAGAAGTGAGGACCCGAGGAGCTGAGTATGCACTGGGTTTGTTGGCTACATAAGGCATCACATGCTCTGAAATGTACATGTCATTGGGTATTCGACCATCCCTGGAACAGTACGAGGTGGTGGACTTGATGGAGGACCTCAGATTGTTCTCGTTCCTCGTTTTGACGGGCGCCAACTGTTTGTAAATGTCCGAGGAGCTCCTGCCGTGGACCAGGCGTGCGTCGTCCCGCACGGCCTGCATGAACGGGTTGTCCGTGGTGTGATCGGGGTAAAGGGACTTGCTGCGCTTGCTCTCCTCCAGGTTATGGTTGAACAGCATGGACCTGCTCCCGAACAGTTTGTCGGACTTGACGTTGAACAGGTTGGCGTACGGGCTGTCCTCCAGGAAGCGGTCCTTCTCCTTGAGACTGACGCTGCGGGCCGGCCGGTTCAAGTCAACCTCCTTGGGCTTCTCCAGCATGATGTTGTCGAAGGAGTGCTGGCGGCTGAGCCGCAGGCGGTTCCTTTTCTGGACGTGTGGCCCGTCCGTCTGCGGCCAGTAGTGGCCGAAGGTGTCGTCTTGGTGCACGCTGGGACTGATCATCACCTCCTGCAGCATCTGGTCTTCACTGATGTCGTACAGGTTGCCCATATGCAGGCACGCCTCACAGCGGTTGTAGGGTGAACGCATTGCCGCGTAGGGTCCCGTGGAGTAGTTTGGCACCTTTGACAGGCAGCTCCGGCAGTGGGTTTGTTTAAAGCGGTCGTTGCTCTCATGCGGGCTGAGGTTCTTGTCTTTTACACTGTAGTGTTTGTTGTAGGCGTTGTCCGGCAGGAGGTCTGTGTCGGTGTGATGGAGGGGGCTGCTGTTCAGATGGATGATGGGCTGGTCACATTTCCTGTAATTGTCATTGTGGTCAGAGTAAATTTCGGGGAAATCCAAATCGTCGGCTGCTAGGCCTCTGCTCTCTCTGTAATGCAGAGGATCCGAGTGCAGACTCAGCTCCCGGTCAGAGTCTATGGTGTAGATTTTTTCTCGGCCAGATCCGCCCTGCTTATTTTTTAAGTAGGACAGCTCCACTTCGCTGCAATCCCTAGGGTATTTTGACGTCATCGATCTTTTTTTTAAGTTGTCCTTGGCCTTCAGGTGCTTGTTGTTCTCAGGATCCTTGTACGAGGCAGCCCTGCTGGAGCAGTCGGAGATGTCAGAGTGGGCTGCCTCCTCTGGAAGGTAGCGCTGGCTCTTCATGGACAAACGGGGGTCCGGGGCCAAAGTGTCGGGCCCCTGGCCTTGTCGGACAGTATCCACTGACTTCTTCCAAAGAGCCCTGGGCTTAGCAGCCGTCTGAGCTGCATCTGCGCTCACAGCAACTTCCACGGTGTTGGGGTTGGATTCGTTTAGAGTGAGGGGGTGCTGGCCCTGGAAGATGTAGTTGTTCAGGTGGTCCTTGTGGCGGTTGGCCAAATAGGCCTGGATGTCGCTGGAGTCCCCGTAGATGTCCTTTTGCGCATAGCTGCGGTTGTCAGTATACACAAAGTTCCCTTTTTCAGACATCAGGTCCATGATCATGGGCCCGGCCGAGTGCATGAACTCGCCGCTGCGTTTGGGCGAGTTCACCCTGGAGCCGCTCAGGTTGGTCATGTTGGTCATCTGCTTGGCCGACTTGATGAGCTTCAGCATGTTGGCCTGAGGGCTGAAGTCCAGGTCAGAGGATTTTTTCTTCATATCAATGTGGACACCGTGAATGCAACTCCAAATACCCTGAGAAAAAAAAGGAAGAAAGGAAGAAGGGGGGGAAATCAGTGCTTACTGTGACTAAAGCACAATGCAAATGACAAAATATGATAATATTTCACATACTTCCCTCTAGATTTTGGGATTTAAAATGAATCTTAAAGCCACAAACACTGACACAAGCTCAAATGTACTCAGTTTTCCCATCATCCAAAATATGTTGGGTGTCTGAAGTTTGCTTCTTTAGTTTCAGCACTGGAGATACGAGACCACTGTGGCTTACAAGTAAAGGAATCCCACCAATTAGCACCATGCCAATGTTTAAATCATCACACACTTGTGTCAAACTGTGTCTAATTGTTAAGCAATCTCTAATAAACTTTTCTGACACTGTATGATGAACTTTTATCTGTAAACATGAACCAAAGTACATAGCAAAGCTAGATACAGTAGTAAGTCTGAATTTAGTCAGTGAGTCATACAGTGTCAGAAGCAACATAATCAAGTCTATAAGAGATACTCAACAACTCTTTAGGGGTTAGGGACTGATATATGTAAATGAGGTCTACTCTGATTGGCTGCACCTCATTCAAAAAAGCAGTCCAGGCTGAAACACTCCTTATAACCTCAGTAGCTGGGTGAAGCTAAACTGCTATGAGCAGTACAGGTGATATACAGATAAATGATACATTTTGCAACTTTAACTATGTTTAGTTTTTTAGTTTTTTATGATTATGGACTCTTTAACATGGTATATTCTTTACGTTTGGTCAGATAAAGGATCACAGTCATCTGAAAAGGCCACAAAAACTACAAACAGCCATCTTCCGAGAGCCTTATGTTCTTTATTATTATAGAATCTTTACTGCAGATGACATTTCCTGAGTGTGCATTGTTTCTAAGCTCTCTTTTGCTGACAAATGTGTGAACTTAGGTTACGTCTCTCCCCATATATTTGCATTTCATTACCTCAAAAACAGCTAAAACATGTTCCCTTACAGACAGAGTGAGAACTACATCAGGTGCATATAAATCCCCCACACTGAAACCAAAGAAGGCCGTGTGAAAGCTGGCCCTCTTGCACTGTCATTAAAAACTATCCCGCTATGAATTAAATCAATACCTAATCTTAACCCTCTGGGGTTCACAAACTCTTCCATGTGTCAAACTTCTCTGTTTCTATATCTGTTTGTGTATCTTTGTGATGATCCAGCACAGAAATCCAGTTCAAACACTTCCTGAATCTGTAGAGTCGCCCTTTCCAAATTCCATCAATGGAATTTTCCATTCCATTCTATCACGAGATCATACGAGACTCACATCCGGAGTTATGAGCCTATGAAGAGGGGCTGAGATACACGTCATCTGCCTCTCACCGTGTGGAACTGGTGGATTGGTCTGTCCGTCTACATTCTGTGTGAAACTGACCAATGGGCACTCAGAAAATCACTAAGAACTGACCATCACGCCGGAAACCCTTCATTCTTCATTCAGTCCACATCGGAGACTCATGGAGAAACAGTGAGCAGAGAGTTTACAGCTGCTGAAGCTGCTGCAGCAGTTTTGGAAAGTAGTGATGAAGATAACGGAGCATTTAGATATGAAACATATGAGGATCATGATATATGAAGAGCCTTTAAAGGAGAGTTTAAGAAGATATGAACACATTAAGAGAATGACCTCAGACCACAGAGGGTTAAAGGGCCCATATCATGGAGTTTTTTTTGCTGTTACTAGAATAAATGAGCTTGATGTAGCATGTAAACACTATTAAAGCTCTAAACAGTCTATACACTCCATACAGTCCATACATGGAAGCAAAACTGCAGTTTTTTCAATTCACAGTTTTTGTGATGTCACGCAAACCATCACATTTACATATATCAGCCCACAGCAGTTTAGCTCTGCCTGCTCACACTGAAGTTATAAGGAGGGTTTCAGGCCCGAACTGCTTTTTGAATGAAGCACAGCCAATCAGAACTGAGCTCATTTGCATATACCAGTATTAAAGGCACAGTAACAATAACTGTAAGGGATGAAGAGAGATTGGAAAATGGTCATGAAAAAGTGAATTAGCACTGCTTTTGGTGCACAAACCTACACATAGACCTAAAAAAATAAATAAATACAGGAGTAATGAAGGATACGGGCCCTTTAAAACGAACAACAAGCATCAGTCAATATTTCATTTCTGCTTATTTTTCCCCTCAGTGGTCAGCCAGCGTCTGACGTTCCGTGGCTCAATAACTTCGGCCCCCAATGAATTGCTAATTGGATCAGAGTGGAGACGCTCGCACATGAGGCTGTCTGATCGGCGAGCTCTTTTCTGTTGAAGTGTTGGCTTGTTTATCAACACACTTCAGCTGACATGTGAGAATGCGACACTGGCATGCAGATTTGTCCCTGTTTGGCTACAGGCTACTGTCCCATGTTGTGAAATTAAACAGTACAGACAGGAATTAAGTCAATTAATTCCAAGATTTGATTTATCAGCGGTGATAAATTAAAGGGCCCATATTCTACATTTTTATTTAGCTTATTTCCCTCCATCACATCCACTTATAACATTTGTGTAGTTTTATTTACCAAGAATTCTTACATAACCATTTTTTAATCCCTTAGAATTTTTTGTGTTACTGAGCCTTTGAGACTGATACATGTAAATGAGCTCTGTTCTGATTGGCTGTGCCACATTCAAACAGCAGACCAGGCTGAAACACCCCTTAAAACTTAATGAGTGGGCGTTAGCTAAATTGTTGTAAGCTGAATAGGCAGATATATGCAAATATGACAATACAAAAGTAGTGAATTTAAAGCGGGCTGGAGGAAATGAACAGCATTCTTTGAGATTTTAGTAATATTTTCATGTGTACAGGCAGGGGTTGACAGTACGTACTGCCCACTGCACTGGCCACAACATTTCACATTTTGGCCACTAAGAATTCCCTTTAAGTTTGCTAATACCACTCTGTGAAATAAGATCTTAAACAAGATTCAGACTGAATAATCATCAGCAGTTTGTGAGAGATAATGGGCTGCAGTCAGCACCAAATACTGTCACCTATGGTGTTCCACAGGGGTCAGTACTTGGGCCACTTTTGTTTAGCACTTACATATAGTGTGAGTATATGTATAAATAGACTTCTTATTACTATTATTATTATTATTATTATTATTAATGATATTATCTAAGCTGCCATGACACTGAGAGGCTAAACAGTAACTAAACCTAAAGTACAAGGACCAGCTTGGTAGGGGGACCACCACGATCACCACCACAACAGCAGTGTTCTTATTAATGTACAATTTTTAATAAACATTTCCATGCTTTCCATGTTAATTGTTTTTAATGACTGTTAATTGTTATATAAGCGCTACATCTCTCAATTTTTGTGTTTTTTATTTTTTACAGAATTTGAAAATGCCGGTTGGTCTTCACAATGTGTCAAAATTTCATAATGAACTGACCAATAACAGCATTTACTCATTTGTGTCATAACAATTAATTATATTTTTTGATTTGATCCTGTTTTTAAATGATTAAGTAGTTATTTACTATCTTACTTCTTTGTGATGCCTAAACCTTTCCTTAACTCTTAGTTAATCATTATCGAGTGGTTATTATATACTATTACATACTAAATAAATATTATTATATACAATAATAATCATTAAATGGACCCCAATATTAAAGCTACGTCTTTACAATGTATTTACAAAGATATATTGCTTTACATATTTGTGTGTCACTAAATAATTAATATTTGGTAGCACGTTTTAATGCACAGGTAGCGATTATTTACAGTTATATATATAAACTTTCATTAACAAACTATTAGATGATGATTAAGCTGCTATTTTTAGGGATTGACTGATTTTTGGTACTAAAGCATGCTTCTTAATTATAAATACAATGTATATACAATAGAATGTTTCTATGATTCTGGCCACAAATTCATTGGCTTGGTGGTCCGAGAAGTCACTGTATTGTTGTTTATATCTGTATTGTTGTTTATATCTGTCGACCCCGTGTAGAGGGGAGGGTGTACAGACGCCAGCAGCCCTGACAGCATTAGCGCTGCCAGTAGCTTTCATTTCTGAAGCACTTTTACAGAAACAGACAAGAGCTCTTTGATATCCCGCTTTACAAACAACAAAAGCCACTTTAAACGCTGGCGATTCTGTACAGCAGCTGTTCATTCACTACCTTACAGCTGATTATACGTTCATAGTGATATTTTATCACAGAGAACATGCGACCCCTGCCCTGGGGCTGCACAATATATCGTATCTTAACTGTTATCGCAATATTGGCCTTTGCACTGATCCTGCAGAAGGCTACATTATGCAAACGAGCCTTTTAATCACTCACTGTGTTTATTTACTATGTGCTGTGAGCATCCTGACCAATCTACAGCACATTCTCCATCAATCTGATCCACCCTTTCATGATGCAAAGGCTTCAATGAGTGTTCATGGTCCTATATAGAACCATTTTCTTTATTCCCCAACAACCGCAGGGTTCTCCCAGTCCCAGCTGGCCATTTCCACCCCTGATCATCAGTGCTAAAAGGCATCTCACCCTGCTGATGGTGAAGAGCAGGCCGGGCTTCCCTGAACAAACTCCGGTGAAGCAGTAGCGAAGCTTCCAGTAGAACAGGTGCTCCCACACGAAGGTGATGAGGCTGAGGCCCATGGCTGTGGCCAGCATGTAGAACACTCCAGCCATGTTGTCCACGTCCAGCTGGCTGCTCATCACCTCGTTCTTCTCGTTGTGGCAGATTCCAGTCAGCCACTGGGCCTCTAGCTCCTCCATCTCACCTGAGGAAACACGAACACATACACTAAACATACGGTCACTCCTCTCACACTGCAGTGACCACCTGTATTTCAGTATATACACGCAAAGCTTCTCAAGGTTACAATGCCAGACTTTACAGTTATTACTTGGTATTTGCAAAGCACACTGGGAAAAATACTGTTAATTACTGTTCATTTCAAGCATCCTGCCACTGGGGGCGGAGCTTTCCAGTTTGGTTAGTTTCTGTAAATAAGCTGTTATTTCTTCATCTACATATAGCTTTTTTGTTAGTATTACCGTGTTATTCATTCACCAAAGATATATCTGAATGCATTTTACATTAATGAATTCTACCCTTCATTAATTTAATTTCCAGTCAAAGCTATCAGAAAGTAAATTGATTGTTTTCTATGACATCTGTATGACATTTATTTTCATTGTTTATTATTTTTATGCCATTTATTTCCTGTTTTAGGACAAATCATCTTTTTCTTATTCAAAAGACCACTGCAGATTAAGCATAAAGGTCAGTACTAAGCATTTTGTCCAGTGCAGAGGTCAGTTTTAGGTGGAAACCATTAGTTTAAGTTTCCTTTAGTTCAACAGAAACAGCTACTGTAATAAACTGTCCCAGAAGGTCAGTGCAGCTGGTCAGTCTAAAGGCCACATGAGGTTAGGTTTTATATCAGAACTGTGACTCTAATGAGCCAAAACGTCTTATTTTGGGAGAAAGAAGAAAAAGAAAAGACGGATGAATGAATGAGATCATTGCCTATGTTGTAATTTAGAGCCCATCAGTTCAAATGTTTACTATTTAATTACCTTTAAGGCTTAATATTTATAAAAATTAAGATAACAAGACTTTTATATACTCACTTATGTAAGTGGATGGTCTTATATCTAATCTCCTAGGAAACATCTCCTGAAAAATGAACTGCGTTTTGACTGGAAACGAAATAAATGAAGAGTGCGCTCTGACTTTTGTACAGTACTGTAATTACAGTACTGTTCTGTAATTAGGAATTACAGTGGTGTCCCTGTAATGGTACTTTTGCCAATAATTGTGTTACTGTAATATATTTCGTTGATGTGGAAATGACGCGCAGTTTTGCATCACTTTTTTAGCGCAGCGTCCCGTCATAAAACTTTCCACACTTCTGGCATTCAGTGCAGAGAGTGAGTAAAACACATACTCCAGCGTCAGCCATATGCCAGCTCCATCTGAGCGCTGTTTTTCCCTCTCTCTACAAGGTGCTGCCAAAACGATGATTCTGTCATTTATCAAGCTTCATGTTAGAGCGGTGCTGTTAAAGCAGTGCATGCAGACAGAAATGTAGATTGCAGATGGGAGATTCAGACAAAATCCGCCATGAAACGCTGATTGAAAGAAGGGCTAAAACAGATGGACGTCTCGTAGTGTGTTTTGCAAGGCTGGAGAGGTTTGTGGAAAACGATCAGTCCGAGAGTCCGACATTAAAAGGGAATTCTATCAAAATGTCTGCATAACTCGGTCGTTAACATGCAAACAGAGTCGTTCAGAACGGTTTGGTGTGAAATGCTCCATGTCAGAATCAGAATCCGAGTCAGAATCTGTTCGTAAACCACCAGATGAGGTTCATTATGAATAAGAGGGAGAAAAATAAACACCAGTGATTGAAGATACAGTTGTATGTAAAAGTTGTTGATTTTCTAAGTGTAAATAAGTGAACACATCCTCTACACTGAGCACACTTGTGCACACTTTAACATACAATTATACTGTTTATTATAATTTTTTTTCTGTATAATTACTTTGTTAAGATGTAAACAGAGTCGTTCAGAGTGGTTTGGTGTGAAACGCTCTGTTCTAGAGAAACGAGTCAGAACTGTTCACAGTGGTGGTGATAGGAACCAGACGTCCACCTCTAAAAGCTCCCTCACAGAAAGTTACTACATGAAATGGTAAGAATTCACTGCCCGATGTCTGAGACACTGTTGTACCATAGATTTGAGATTAGAGTTCAAATTAAAACACGCTTTTTAAAATGCATTCATGGTGGAGGGATACATGCAGGGTGTTGTGAGGCACTATTTTACCATCAACCACATATACATCACAACCCCTGGCTCCTCTCACCACCACTGTAAAGAGTCAGTACGTTTCCCTACGATGAACCATTTCTCATCAAACCACTCTTTACATCTTTAAACTGAACGATTGAAGTAGGCAGAATTTTTTTAAGTTGGTGGAGTTCCCCTTTAAGGAAAGCTATCCTGGGCTTCTTTTGTTACATGAATAACAGTTAACTCTCCTAAGCAGGTTAGGGCTTATATAAAAAGGCTTTGGCTCGTTAATTCATCTGTTTGGAAACGCTGTGAAAGATCTAAGCAGTAATATTAATAATACAGGCTGAGGCCACTGTGACTCACTTACATGCTGACACAGAAAGGAAAAAAGAGAATAGAGAATATATTCAAACCGCTCGCATATACATTCTGTTTACTCTCCCTGCATTAAAAATAACATCAAAGAGATGTTTATAATCCTGCGAGCCTGTGTTAGGGACGTCCACGGAGAGGTCAGCTTTGTGTAGCTGAAACTCTGAGCTCTCGCTACCTTTCCCTCCCGCGGCCATTCCTGCTATTCTCTGAGTTAACCAGTCTGCACGAGAGCCTCTCTGACTGACCGAGGCCGTGAGTGGTGAGCAGTGGCCCCCCAGCACTGATCCTGAATTAACACTGACCTGCACATTTTACCCTGGTGAAGTAATAATAATAATAATAATAATAATAATTAATAATAACTAGAAGGAGAAAGTTTGTATATAAACATTAAGTTGGCTTGGCAAAGCTGTTGCTATGAAATCCCAGGTGGTCGCTATGGTGTTGCCAGGCCATTGCTATGGTATCCCATGTGGTTGCTATGGTGTTGCTAGGACATAGCTGTTATCCCATATGGTTGCTATGGTATTGTTAGCCCATTGCTATGGCATTCCAGGGTGTTGCTATAGTGTTGCTAGGCCATTGCTATGGTATCCCATGTGATTGCTATGGTGTTGCTAGGACATAGCTGTTATCCCATATGGTTGCTATGGTGTTGCTAGGCCATTGCTATGGTATCCCACATGGTTGCTATGGTGTTGCTAGGCCATTGCTATGGCATCCCATGTGGTTGCTATAGTGTTGCTAGGCCATTGCTATGGCATCCCAGGTGGTTGCTATGGTATTGCTAGGCCATTGCTATGGTATCCCATGTGGTTGCTATGGTGTTGCTAGGACATAGCTGTTATCCCATATGGTTGCTATGGTGTTGCTAGGCCATTGTTATGGCATCCCAGGTGGTTGCTATGGTGTTGCTAGGCCATTGCTATGGTATCCCACGTGGTCTCTATGGTGTTGCTAGGCCATTGCTATGGCATCCCATGTGGTTGCTATGGTGTTGCTAGGCCATTGCTATGGCATCCCAGGTGGTTGCTATGGTGTTGCTAGGCCATTGCTATGGTATCCCATGTGGTTGCTATGGTGTTGCTAGGACATAGCTGTTATCCCATATGGTTGCTATGGTGTTGCTAGGCCATTGCTATGGCATCCCAGGTGGTTGCTATGGTGTTGCTAGGCCATTGCTATGGCATCTCAGGTGGTTGCTAAGGTGTTGCTAGGCCATTGCTATGGTATCCCATGTGGTTGCTATGGTGTTGCTAGGCCATTGCTATGGCATCCCAGGTGGTTGCTAAAGGTGTTGCTAGGCCATTGCTATGGTATCCCAGGTGGCTGCTAAGGGGTTTCTAGGCCCTTGCTATGTTATTCCTGGTGGTTGCTATGGTGTTGCTAGGTCATTGCTATGGCATCCCAGGTGGTTTCTATGGTGGTGTTAGGCCATTGCTATGGCATCCCAGTTGGTTGCTAAGGTGTTGCTAGGCCATTGCTATCGTATCCCAGGTGGTTGCTATGGTGTTGCTAGGCCATTGCTATCGTATCCCAGGTGGTTGCTATGGTGTTGTTAGGCCATTGCTATGTTATCCCACATGGTAGTTTTGGTATTGCTAAGTTATCCCAGTTGGTTGCTAAGATAGTGGTAGGCAATTGCTATGAATTCTCAAGTGGTTGCTATGCCGCTGCCATTATGCCAGGTGTTGCTAGACTATTGCTATGGTATCGCAGGTGGTAGCTATGATGTTGCTAAATTATCCCAAGGGGTTTCCTAGATGGTTCCTATTAAAATCCCAGGTGGTTGCTAGGCTGTTGCTATGTTATCCCAGGCGGTTGCTAAGGGGTTGCTTGGCCACTGTTATGTTATCCCAGGTGGTTGCTAAGGTGTTTCTAGGCCACTGCTACACTATCCGTATATAATGTGCGTGCATTCTCAGAGAAAAGCAGGACCTCACCGTCGCCGATGATGGCCAGGATGGCCAGGTCCACCTGCCGCTTCCAGGGCGAGCCCTTCTGCAGGGCGATGCCGTAACCCGTGGTGGCAAAAATGTAGCCGCTGCCAATGGTCACCAGCTTGCAGCCCTCGTCCCTGCCGGCCATGTAATTCAGCACAGCCGCATCGTAGATAAAAGCGTCCAGTTTTCTGATAAAGAAGAAAGAGAGAGAAATTAGCAAGACCACTGATCATCACAGACAGGGGGCAAGGGTGGGCAAGTACCTTCACAGAAATGTCCAAACTCTGAAATCTGATCTGTTTAGTCTCCATGACGACTTCAGTCCGGACTGAATTTCGGACAGTAGCTGTTCCAGAATAACAGCTCCTAACTTCATAATCTCATCATGAACTCCAGATAAGAAAACAGCATCACACAAACGTCCTAACTAGACTGAACCTCCTAAATCCTGTCCTAACTTTAGGATGAACCCCAACAGGGTCCTCACTTCTGTTTAAGGTCCGTTTCTATGGTTTTTAGGCAGCTGAGTCAGCAGCATAGTTCACTACCAGCATAATGAGCTCCATTTATTTCTACTGTAAAACGCTGCTTTCACTGTGAGATGTTTTATTGAAATGTTATCTACATCATAAAATTAAACGTTGTTTATTTCATAAAATCAGTGAAAATGTGCAAGTGTGTTTCACGTTATCTACATCATAAAATTTGACATTATTTATTTTGTAAAATCACTGGAAATATGCTAGCTTTTTCATGTTATCAAAGTCATAAAAGTTTAAAATGATTTATGTTGTGTTTCATGTTATTCATGCAATAAAATTTTATGTTATGTCAAAATAATATGTAAAAAAGTAAAGTTTAATAAAAACTGGCCAAAAAAAGAAAACAGCCATCAACCAAGTTGGCTGCTGGGAAATCAAAATCAGCCATAAAAGTCATGATCAGCACACAAACATTGCATTATGATTTTTTGATGTTTTCAAAGCTTAGTGATGTCAGATTTGGGCTGTCAGACAGGCTGATCACCTGATCACAGCAGGCGTGTGTCGGTAAGTAAACAGGTCATGTGAATAAGGTGAATAAAGAATAAAGTCACTGCAGCTCCGACTCCACGCTGGGTCCACTGTAACGACATAGCTGAACAGCAGGTGGACGCTGAGTCACACTCAGGAGGGGCGGCCGCGCTGGGCTCCGGTCTCACACTAAACGCTGCGTTTGATTCAGTTTGGTGTGGTGAGCGCGGAGGGGAGGTTCATACACAGCTCCTCCAGCTCAATCCACTGTTTACAGGCTTTTCTCTCTCTCTCTCTCTTCAGCTCGCTGTTTGTTTCTTCCTGCTGTTTTAGAACTGAGAGCACAAACTCGAGGACATCAAGTCAAAGGCCTTTTAACAGCCACGTCTATGAGAGTGTGTGTGTGCAGGTCTGTCGGGCGTCTGTCTGAGAGCCGCTCTGCACTTCATTTTTAAGATGAAAGAACAGGGCCGTTTCTTTTTGTCTCCTGAGATTAAGATTAGGATTAGGATTAGGAAACTATTGTGACATGCAGATACATATCATCACTGTAAGAAAAACAAACATTTCTATTGGCCCAATTATCATGAAATTTTGACGCAGTTCAGATGGCAGCCAGTCTATAAAAAAAAATATATATATATTAAAAAAACAACACAAATGTACATTCAAGTATGTATACATACACATCGCTGCTGTGGGAAGAAAACCTTGTGTCTCCATTTTTGTCCTTTTTCAGTTTTAACATAATTTGAAAATGTCTGTTGCTCTTTACATTGTGTTACATTGTGTTTATGATGAATGGACCAAACAAAATGGCCCAAAAAAGAGTTGGAAGAAAGTCTGGTTCCATTGACTTACATTAAATGTAAAGTTTGTTTTTTCTTTCTCCTGTAAGGTTATCATTTTGGAGATACAAGGGTTGTTTTAAAAATTAATTAATTAATATAAAAAATATCCTTACAGTGTAAATATTTTACTTTTAGTATATATATATATGTAAATATATATATATATATATATATATAGTAACAAACTGTAAAAACCTTGTTAAATAATTATCGAGGTTAATTACTTGCTTGTTAATTCTCTTCTTGTTACTTCTTTTCTTGCTGTCCTTTTGCTGCTGTAGCACTGAGAATTTCCCCATTGTGGGACTAATAAAGGATTATCTTATTATCTTATCTTATTAATAATTATTATTACATATAGTATAGTAACTTACATACAGCACTACTATTCAGTGTCATAAAGAACAACAGAAATCATACAATCTGGGTGCCTCTAGTTAAATGACAGGTTTTGTTGATTTTCTGAGTGAAAACGAGTTAAATAAAAGTTAGTTAACTAAAACCTAAAGTTAAATAAAAACATGTTAATCTGACGAGGGGTGCACAAACTTTTGTGAAGGACTGTATACTTAACAGAAGATTACACAGAAGCCCCAGTAACTAAATACAACATTATTTTTTTCAATATTCAGTGTGTCCTTTTTTTACGTGATTTAAAGTTCAGTCCTGGTTGGTTTCACATGCTTTAAGACTCACAGTGGAATCATTTTTTCCTGTGACTCTCTCCTCCCTCATGCAAGTGGATTATCTTATCGAATGTCCACACAAGTATCTCCTGAGAAAAGAATAACTTGTAACTAAGGGTCATTTTGACTGGAAATGTAATCAAATGAATGTAGGGTGGCCTCTATATCCCTATGTGGGATATAGAGTTATCATACAGACTTGTGTATGTATGTAAGTATGTTGTGGGGCAGTGCCTAATTTGAGCTATAACAAGTCTCTGACCTCTAGATGAGGTAAAAGAGTGCTCAAACAGGCGGCTCTCAGAACGCTGACCGGTCCAAAAGTCCAGTGGAATCAAACTAATCCCGCTGTCATGAACCAATGATCCAACACCTCCACCTCCGTACCAGACAGGAGTACTAACAGGCCGAGGGCAGAGCACGCCGCGCCTTCCAGTCTGCCTAATGAGTGACATTTGGAGCTGCGGTTAGCGAGTCGTCCTTCTCCTCTGCCTCTCCGTACGAGGAGCCTTTAGTCTGAGGCCCTTCATTACACCGACACTGACATTTCCCGAATGTCAAATGAAACTCCCAGATTAGACCCACAGCCGATATTCCTCTTAATAATTCTGTTATAACGGGGCTATTCTGCCGGACGCTGCACTGTGACGATTCCATAGACAGAAGCAGGACTGTCACTATTGATTGTGTTAGTAACCTACTGAGTATTCTAACGATTAATCGACTGATCGGGTTTTTCAACAGGCAATCAAACTCAACTTAAGAATAAACCATGAGTCTGTGGTATTGTGGGTATTGTATTTCATTGAGTCTGTTTGTTTTAATAAATGGTGTAAGTGACACTAAGTGGACTTTTGGCTGACAGAATTCAATCAACATTGATTTTTATCACCTTCATTAAACAGAGAAAAGGCTGAAACATCCCCACACTGCCAAAAACAAATCCCCTTAAGCTAATATTGGGATTTTATTCATCTAAGGATTAGTAGAAAACGGCAACAACAACAACAGCAATGCACAAGACCAATAATCCAGTACAAGCCCGGTGTATATATAGATGCCTGTGCTTTTCTATTTGTGTTCCCCATGAAATCACAAACGCAGGGTCATTTCATTTGACTGTGTGTTGCTCTATCTTTCTCTTCAGGGTGAGAAAAGCTCAGCAGTGATAATCTGAGTGATGTTGTTAATTAGAGGCGCTTTACAGAGACAAATACTCATTTTTTATCTCTATCTCTATTTGTCACATCTGTAGCATGTGGTGGATTACTACAGATAATAATTTAACTCATTTCCTTGTACCTTTAAATAAATAGAAAATTATAAAATATTCAAAAGGCAATTCTTTTTTCTTGGTTTTTCAGAACTCAAGCTTGATTTAATCAATGAAATGTAAACAATAGCCATTTGAATTAATATCCAAAAAAAAAAACCTACACGTGTCTTCTGAGTTTTTAATGTTAATGGTGGTAAAATTAATAGCTTTATTCCGGGCACTATTTTGCCTCACTACGCCCTGCACGTTCTAAACTGAAACCTTCTTAAAACGATCATAAACAGTGTCTCAGTCATCAGGCAGTGAATTCATAACCATTTCTTGTAATAAACACCCTGGTGACCACCTGTAATACCAGAACAACCACCTGGCAACAACGGAAAATACAATGGGAATCAACTACCAGCACCATAACAACCACCATATCTACCAACACCAATTCACAGTATTCGATTGCGTCATTAAGTAGAACATGTCGCCATTTTAGAAGGCAAACTGTGACTCTGACTCTACTCTGATAATGACAGACTGTGCTCTTATCACCGCTACGGCATTTACGTCCCTGCAAGTGGATAAAAACCAAGCAAAACTGACCAGAATGACCACGAAAAAGATATGTAGACGCTTTAGATGTGTCTCCAGAAAACGCTACGAGAGGATTAGCTAGATCGGTGGACTGGATCCGTAGCTATAGACCAAACTGCACATCTCCGGAGTTCAGAACATTCTAGTGTGTGTGATGTTTTATAAAAACTAATAAAAGTGGCTACCAAAGCTCTTAAATAATAAACTTATGCATTTATATTAGGCTCAAGTTAGCTTCTCATTCTTATGCTCCTCTCTTAAATTTTCCGGTCCACCTTAAATGGTGCTGCAGTTACACTGAGGCGCCTTAAACGAAGAACGAATTTTGAAAGTAGGCGAATATTAAGCTAAAGTCAATAACAGATACTTAAGCAATAAATACAACAAACATTCAATTGAAACTGTTACTGAGCAGCACAGCGAAGCTACAATCAGCCAAATAGAGCTGTTGAACGCATCTCACTGGCTGATCTACACTACACTACACTAATGAGTGCACTTCTAAATGGATATGGACTATTATTGTATACTATTTAGTGTGCTAGTATGGGATAGTTTGGGATGGGGATGCAAGTAACGCAATGGAAAATCTCAGCTGTTTAGATTATAGCTTTCGTTTTTCATCACTACAACTACAAATCAAATGAAATCAAGTCAGTACACTCAAATACAAACTTCAAAAAGTGTTTACAAATGTGTTTTACTGCCTTTGCTGGATCGGTTATTACAAAGAGCCGCAGCACTGCTGAATGAACTAGATGTTGCCCACCAAACTTGTGGCAGCGCGATTGTAACGTCTTCAGAATACTATCGATAGCAATATCAGTTCTGCTGCATTTTCTGCAGGAAAGGCACTTTTCCAGTTATGTATATAGGTATAATATTTAACTTGATATTTGGTTTATTGCTGGAAGCTGCGTATCATGTTTGCGAAGATTTGCAAATGTCAACCTCATCATACATTTCACAGTTTTCATCAGCTGTGTTAAAACACAATTCTTCATTTTGAGAGTGGTTTGATTAAAGACTTTCAGCTGGACCATAAGGAACTTTCTTCAGCTCAACCCAAAGCTGTCTGTGCGCCTCTCAGATGGCTGTGGTTTTACTCTGCTAATGAAGACACACTCAAAAAGCACAAGAACATATTTCATCACAACATTATAGTCGGTGAGCTTCTTTGGGCCAAGGACTGTATTTGAGCTCCGTTCGGGTTCAGCACTCGAGTCCATAACAGAGAACCATTCAGAATAAACGGCCTGGCACAAACACTGAGAGACCTTATCAATATCTGCCACGAGCTGGTCTGTGAGGAGCTGATCAGTCGGTTTAGAGAGTCTGATCAGGTTTCTGAAGATTGTTCCCTGTGTGTTTACGCTTTAAACAGAGAGGCCTGATTGGGTTCTTTTCTCTAAAAGAACTGCTTTAGCTCCATCACGAAAAGCTGTTCAGTGTTTCAGTCTGGCCTCACCACCCTCCACCCCACCCCTCCCCAGTGTGACGCTGATGAAAAATGCCCTCCCCATACATCTCTGCCTCCTCATTTCCACTCCCATTATGTACGTTGCACTATTAAAAATAGCCCTGTTACTCCAAGTTGGCGTGGTCATTCATTCCCATTGCCTTCTACAAACCACTATGGCAAAGAAAGTAAAAAAAAAAAAGTTTGATCCACTTTTCATGTATATAATGAATGTGATCATTAAATCAAAAAACAAAATAAATGTAAAAAATGTATGTGGGGGCCCTTTTTCAAGGTTTGTTACTTTATGGCAACATTTGGCAATGATGGAAATAAAAAAAAATAAAATAAAATTGAAAATAAAAAATAATTTTAAATGTAAAGCTAAATAATAACTGTCCTCTCAAGCGGCTACTCAAGTTACACTTTGCTACAGGCTACATCCACTCCACTGTCACACAGTGTTGCTTCTAGGCAACATAAACATTTCTGCAAATTCTAACAACGTAAATACAATTTATATGATACAGAATGTGTACGTCCCCCCTAACAGATTTTCTACTAGGTGGATTTTATTTTAGATGGATAAAAAATTATGAAGCGTTGATTTTCTGAGAGAAAAGTGCAGAAACAAGTCATCTACAAAAAAGAGGTTTAAAAAGAGGTTTAAAAACACCCATAATGAGAAAGTGTGACCAAACACAACCCTTTGTTGGTTTATTCAAACTCTCTTATTGTTATTAACACTTTATTGTCATCAAATATGTTTTATGTTATTGTAAAGTGAGGAAAATGTGTTTGTTGCCCTGAGGCAACATTGTACAATAAATAGTTAACTCTAAGAAAACTACATATCGCTGTTGTCGGAAGAAAACCTCGTATCTCCAAAATAGTAACTTTACAGGAGAAGGAAAAAACCTACTTTACTTTTAATGTAAGTCAATGGAACCAGAATTCTTTCCAGGTAGTTTTGGGCCGTTTCTTTTGGTCCAGTCATCATGAAATGTACACACAATGTAAAGAGAAACAGGCATTTTCAAATTATGTCAAAAACTGAAAAACAACAAGATAGGAGACATGAGGTTTTGTTCCGACAGCAGCGATGTATTACTGTTGTACTGCTACACTATTTAAACAAAATTACATATATAATTACACAGTTAGTTATACAATTTTCATTTGCCTTACATTCTGAATAGAAACCAGCAGGTTTCTAATGTTTAGAAATAGAATTTCTAATGTTCCTCTGAAAAAACGAAAGCATGAGGGTGGGCTGGGGGTCTAGTTAAGAGCTGGCGGGGGCAGCTAGAGAGTATTAGGTCATTATAGTGAGGATGATGACCACAAACAAGGCAACTTCAATGTAGCTACACTGTTAGAAAACACTCCGTTTGCATAATGAGAGGAGAGAGGCATTTTGAATGATAGTTGAAGTCAGTGATGATCACGTCACAGTACTGAACTTTGTTTTCTTTACTATGGTCAACTTCACTGTAATATAGTGTAAAAAGATTCAAATGAAAAGAAATAGCAGTAAAATTTTGAGTAGAAAGTCAACACAAGACATTAAAAGATCAATTAACTCAAAAGTTTGTTGCTAAGGGGTTGCTAGGCTGTAGCTATGGCATCCCAGGTGGTTGCTAAGGCGTTGCTATCCCACTGCTAGAGATTACCAGTTGTCCCAGGTGGGTGGTGTGGTGTTGTAAGACCAGTGCCATGTTAGTGGTTACTAAGTCCTTTGCTATCCCGGATAGCAAGAGGATAGTGGGCCACTGGTAGCCCGCTAAAGGCAAAGCTGGCGGTCCACTGGCATTATTTTGCTCAGCGTTTTCTGGGCGGCCCACCAGTGTTTAACCAGATATTAGATAAAATTCCACTTATCATCACTCATTTTACACTCACAGTCTAATTTACTGATTTTTCCTTGCTTCCTTTCTTTAGTTATACTTTGTAAATTAGTTTAGTAAATAATTTTAATCAGCAATAAAATTTTCCATAAAATCATTTTACATCAGGCCTGGTCATTATTTCTTTTTGTCAGTTGTTTGTAATATATGTCTTAGTTTATTTTCCAAAATAAAAGTCCCTGTGCATTTAAAATCTGAGACTAAAATCTAATTAGAGCTTGTATGCAGGACAATAATCTTGGTGGTCCGAGGGGGGACCAGCAGTGGCAAACAGTCAGTGTTGTGCCGACCTTATCAAACCAGCTGACTGATATATGCTCGCTATCTGGGATGGCACCCCAGGTGGCGGCGAAGGTGTTGTGCTGCTAAGCCAAAACTATGGTGTCCCAGGTGGTTGCTAAGGTGCTGCTTAGCCATTGCTATGGTATCCCTGGTAGTTGATAAAGTGTTGCTGGGCCACTGATACCATATCCCAGGTGGCTCTTTATATATGATTGGTCCCACAAGCACAAGCGCACTATTCCCATATTGGTTCCAAGATCCTGTGATGTTTTGTGGTTCTAGCTCAAAAGCTGTGGCTTATGAAAACGGTATGTAAAAGGCACAGAGTAATAAAATTAACAACAGCCAATGTTCTAAGCCAACAGCAATAAAACATGCTTTTGTTATCGCTGGTGCTGCCTGGAACCTTTAAAAAAAGACCAGCTAAGGGACCCATACATCTCCCCATTCTCATTTCCACTGCTATTATGTTCATCACACTATTAAAAATAGCCCCGTTACTCCAAGTTAACATGGCCATTCATTCCCCCTGCTGCCACCCATAAGTGTGTTTATAAAGCACTGGTCATTGGAATGACCCTTTCAGTCCTGATTCCTCTCAGGTAAACTCATGTAGGGCTGTGCTGCAGCTTTAATCAGGCCTGAGATTTTGATCTGAACCCAAATGCGAGTTGATTTTGCCACTGCAGAACGAACAACTTTACACTTCCTAATGAGAGACTTTGTAGCAGCAATAATGGCCATTATCAAATCGTCAAAAACTAAATAGCAATATCATTATAATGATCAAATATCATCTGACAAACTAATCTGTTCTTCAGTCAGTTCCCTCAAACCAAATCGTTTTTCAGTCTCCATAAACTCTGCATAATGTGCTGTTCTCGTTGTTTAAACAGAAACTTTTCAAATGTTCTTCATAATTAAACGGTTAAGATGTAAACAGAGTCGTTCAGAGTGGTTTGGTGTGAAACACTCCGTTCTAGAGAGTCAGAATTGTTCACAGTGGTGGTGATAGAAACCAGACGTCCACCTCTAAAAGCTCCCTCACAGAAAGTTACTACATGAAATGGTTAAGAATTCACTGCCTGATGACTGGGAGAGTTTTACAGTAGTTTTGAGACGATTTGGGCCTAAAACACATTTTTAAATTCATAGCAGAGGGATCAATGCAGAGTGTTTGCAAAATAGTTCCCAGTGAAAACTTATTTTTTTTAGATTTTCCACTGTTTTCCATCATCAACATTCCATATAAACTCAGAAGACTCGTGTAGGTTCACTGGTGGTTTTGGATAGTAAATAAAAGGCCTATATTGGTGTTGTAGTCATGGCGACCCCTGGTTCCTATCACCACCAGTGTAAAGACATCTGAACCATTTCACACCAAACCACTCTGAATAACTAAATGTGCTTTGTTTCTCAACAATTTGAAATTTTGTAAAATTTGGTGGACTTCCCCTTTAAGATAACATAGAACAAAAGGGAAAATGAAGAAGGAGTAAAACTACAGCAGGGAAAACTCAAGCCAACAGTGGTTAAAGGGGATCAGAAAGCCGACCCATTTCAAGCTCTAGCCTGTGTGGGTGCAGGGATATTCAGCTTACCCGGTCTTCAAGCTGACCAGTGCGTCGGTCACCCCCGTCTGATGGTATTTGACCATGTACTGGTGCATGTCTGGGTAGTTCTTCCGGATGTTCCTCTCTGTGCTGCCATTAGGGACCGTGCCGAATCGGAATGGAGGGGAGTAGGAGTACGGGCTCTGGAACTGTGGAGCAGTGAAAACAGACACAGATGAGTTTCTTAAAAATAACAAAAAAAGCCAAGCAAAACGCTTTTTAACCCAAATGTAGTCGATCAGCCGACACATGTTTGGGAGTTTGCTGCTTTAGTTTTAGCACTGGAGCTGAGAGGCTAATGTAGCTAACACATAATAGAAACTTATACCATCACCACTGTTGTTCATTCATCTCTAATAGACTTGATGATGTGTTTTCTGTCACTGTATGACTCACTGTTATCTGTAAACCTGGATTAAAGTACTGTTTTCAGCTTCAGACCCAAAACATCCAACCATATGTTCCTATATGAGTATAAATTCCCACCATCATCTCACAGCACAGCGAAGCAGCAAAGATTGTTAGGCTCTTGCTATGGTATCCCAGGTGGTTGCCAAGGCGTTGCTAGCCCATTGCTAGGGCTTGCCAGGTGGTTGTTAAGGTGTTGCTAGGCTGTTGCTAAGGTATCCCAGGTGGTTGCTAAGTAATTGCTAGGCCATTGTGGTCAGTGTGGTGTTGTAAGGCCATTGGCATGTTATCCTAAGGTTGCTAAGGCCGTTGCTGTGGTACCCCAGTTGGTTGCTAAGCTGCTGTGCTGCTAAGCCAGAACTATGGTGTCACAGGTGGTTACTAAGGTGTTGTTTAGCCATTGCTATCGTATTCCAGGTAGTTGCGTACGTATGATCGATCCCAAAAGTACAAGCGCTCATGATCCTGTGAAGTTTCATTGTTTTAACTGTGGCTTGTAAAAAAGGTATGAAAAAGGCATATATTAATAAAATTAAGAACAGAAAGTTGGCAGACACCAACCTTCATTTATTTAATTTCCAGTCAAAACAGCCATTAAATACAAGGTAGTATGTCAGTATTGAGTGAGTCACTCTTTTCCTTTATTACATCTTCCGTTCTTTTCAGGAGACTCACTTTCAGTTCCTCAAAGAATCTGCAGACACACCTCCAAAGTTCAGTCTTAGAAGCTGGTTGATGATTTTCTGAAGTAATCAAACACATTCAGTGGTGTTGAGGTCTGGACTCTGGGGTGGTCAGTCCACTGTTCAGCTTCTTTGTTTGATGTGTCCGTCTCCTTTTCTCAGTGAGGTTCTTCTTGACAGCTACACATCCTTTCAGACCCACAGCGCTGAGTCGTCTTCTCACAGTGGAAGGATGGACAGAAACACCTGTGGATGTTTTCAGATCTGAAGCAGCTTGATTTTCTCCTCTCTCTCAGAGATGAAAGCTTTAAGTGCTGTTTATCTGATGGGGCAGTTTTGGGGTCTACCAGGTCTTCCAGGTCTCTTTAAAGATTGAAAACGGTCATTTAAAAATGAATGATATTTTTGGTAAATAAATCCACAGAGATACAAGGAGAAAAATGTAAGATATGGGCCCTTTAATGTCCACAGTCTCTGCTTTCAGTCATACTGAGTCGTGGTTGCTGTTAACAGGAGCCAGAGCAAAGTTCTGTTTGCAGCATCACAGCACTGACCTCGGCCTCATCTGATAAACAGGACGCTGCAGACTCTTCATCTGCAGCCACATCCTCTTTAACCCTCCTGCCTGCCCGATTCAGAGCGGACGCGGTTCAGCCTGTCGGACGTGCAAGTGCATACATGAATAAAATACAGCAGCAGGCGCTTTATATGCCCTTATTAGGAACGGCGGTTGTGTATTAATCTGCTTTAGTTTGTTTATCTCCTTGTGTATTTTGTTTGTTTACAGTAGTGCTGCACAATGTACTGTTTGTTAACGCATTCAGGACTTTTAACTGAACTTGGACTTTAGACCTTAGTCCTTTTGCTTTGAGTGGCCCTAAACCTTAATTATGTTTATTTTATTAAAATAAATGATTCAACTTTCCATTTTGTCAATTTTAGCTCATTTTGAGTTCAAAAACTCAGCAGTACATGACCAGCAAACACGGCCCTTGAACAGCTGTTCACACAGAAAATCATCATATTTTACATTAAAACACTAAAAAGTGCTGAACTGCAGAAAATATGGCGATTCTTAATGTTCCACACTGATTTTCAGACTTTGGGACACATTTACTTCAAAACAGTGGGATCTAACTGCTCACCATGTGGCCATGAGGGACAGGGATGCAGCCTCACTTCCTGCTCTAAAATACAGGGGCGTGGCTAAAATAGGCCCCGCCTACAGACTAAAACATTATGTTTCGGTGACGACATGAAAACGTGGGACAACATTTTTTTTTTATTAAGCACTTGATTAATGTCAGTCTTTTAACTTCATTTAAAAGAAATTAAAGAAATCTTTAAAAAGTAATTTTTTTTTCTCGTATATGTTTAGAGGGTAGGGTTTGGGACAGACACCTCTCAATAGAAAGTACCCTATAAATGATGATTTTGTATATAGTTAGCTTATTACTATCTCTATTAATGCCTTTGGTTTAAATAGATCAGAACGTAATGCTTGTAAATATCTAACTTCACTGCTTTTTTATAGTTTTTACTGTTGGAGTGTATTTTGAATTCTGTAGAATGGTCCATTCGCATCAGTCTGTATGTAATTAAGTTAGGTTACTCTTTATTAGCCACAACGGGGAAATTCACCTCTGCATTTGACCGATCTGTGCAGTGAAACACCACATACACACTAGGGGGCAGTGAGCACACGTGGACAGCCCTATCCACGGCGCCCAGGGAGCAGTTGGGGGTTAGGCGCCTTGCTCAAAGGCACTTCAGTCACATACTGTCAGCTCTGGGGATCAAACCAGCAACGTTCCGGTCACAAGGCTGGTTCTCTAACCCCACAACTGCCCCATAAAGATTTAAAATGCTGCTTAAGTCCATATCATGCTGCCCTAGTCTACACTATGTATCTGGAGGTCCAGCATCTTCACAGTGGGTAAATCATGTCAATTCAGCACTGGTCTATGCTCTCTTCTCCACCATACACTATCCCCTCCTCCTCTCCTCTATTCGTTTCCGTTGCTCCTCTCCTCCCCTCCTCAGCTCTGGCCTTGTCCTGCTCATTATGCAATGGATTGTGTGTTATGTAAGGGCTGAGCGGCGCTCTGCTTTGGGCCTGCAGCGGCCAGCGCACGACTCCTCCCTCTCTCATCTGTGCAGAATAAATACAGAACACTGTTAGACACTGTTTGTTCACTTAACTCTTATAGGTTGCCGCAGGATTGCACTGAAATTTCACCCGTGTTTATTTATATTTATGTGAGTGCATTTAGTTATTGTATATAGTGGAGACACAGGAATGTCCGATATAGATAAACATTTATAAAATGTAGAAATTTGAACTACTGGATTGGCATTACATATTCTGTAGGACAAATGTAGTAGAATGAAGAAAATGCAGATATTTTAGTGGAGTAAACCAGCAACACCTAAACACTCCGCTCTTCCAGAGTCCAACAAATACATAAATAATAAACATCAGTTTGAAACATCTGTCAAATCTAAACATCCGTATATCTGCCGATACAGATATGATTCTGATATCATTGTTTATCCCTATATACAGTGCACTCCACAAAGAATGGCACCCCTGATAAATGTGAGCCAAAACAGGCTATAAAAACATTCTTTACTGCTTTTTACTGCAGTAAACATTTTTACTGCTCTTTACTTGCTTTTGATCTTTCATTTAAAATATTAACAAAAATCAAAACGTTTTTTGAGGACAATGATTGGAACAAATCTAACTCTCATCATGAAATAAATATTTTTCTCAAATCTGTTTCGGCGCTACGACGGCGCTTTAGGGCCACTGTAAAAAAAAAAATAAAAAATTTGAGATAAAACGTCATACGGTATGATATTTTTAGTATAAAGTTGCAATATTTCAAGAATAAAGTCATAAAGTTACAAGAATAAACTCGCAATATTTTGAGAATAAAGTGGGCTAATTGTAGGGGGGCTGCCATAACGTGCTGGGGTCTCGGTTGCCGTACTGGTTCTGGTTCTTCATTCTAAATAAACGGCTTCCTACACAGCCATTTCAGCAGTGTGGATTCCAAGCTCCACACTGTGGACTCTCCTCTTCAGCCCATCCCACACCTTTTCTATGGGGTTCAGATCAGGGGGCTGGGGTGACCATGGCAAAACCTTAATTCTGTGGTCAGGGAACCATTTTTATGCTGATTTTGAGGCATGTTTGGGATCATTGTCCTGCTGGAAGATGCAAACTATGGCCCAGTTTGAGCTTCCTGGCTGAGGCAGTCAGGTTTTGGTTTTATTTCTGCTGGTACTTGATGTATCTCTCTCTATCTATCTATCTATCTATCTATATATATATATATATATATATATATATATATATATATATATATATATATATATATATATACATATATATATATATCTGCTGTCGGATCAAAACCTCGTATCTCCATTTTTGTTGTTTCTCAGTTTTTGACATATTTTGAAAATGCCTGTTGTCCTTTATATTGTTTGTAAGAAGAATGGACCCAAAGAAACGGCCCAAAATGACTTGGACAAAATTCTGGTTCCATTGACTTACATTAAAAGTAGAGTATGGTTTTTCCTTCTCCTGTAAAATTACCATTTTGGAGATACAAGGTTTTGATCCGACAACAGCGAAATACATATATACATATATGTTGATGTGTTGTCGGAAGAAAACCTTGTATCTCCAAAATGGTGACTTTACAGGAGAAGGAAAAACCATACTCTACTTTTAATGTAAGTCAATGGAACCAGAATTTCATTTTGGGCCATTTCTTTTGGTCATATAGGGATATAGGGAAATCACTGTGTGCATGTATTAGCTGAACCGCACCAGTAAAGCTTTGTGGACTGATGAGTCTAAACTCGAGATCTCTGGAAGTGACAGAAGGCAGTACGTTCACCACAGAAGCAATAAAAGACTCTTCAAACCACATTGACAACCATCAGTCAGTGGAGTTTGAGGATGTATAACAACATCAGGAGGTATTTTTGACTAAAAGCATCATGGGTGTTGACGAGTAAAAACACTTTTTAATATCACAAACAGTGTCTGACAGGGAGGAAGTTCAGTTTACCTGCTGGTGCTCTCAGAACAAGACTAACACCTCCCAGAGTCCAGAGCTCAACACCACTGAATGTGTTTGATTACTTCAGAAAATGATCAACCAGCTTCTAAGACTGAACTTTGGAGGTGTGTCTGCAGATTCTTTGAGGAACTGAAAGTGAGAACGGAAGCTGGAATAAAGGGAGAGAGTGACTCACTGAACAAACAGATTTTAAGGTGGATTCAGGTAAAGTGGGAAAACAGTCACCAAAGCTGTACCTGAATTGTTGCATCTACTCCTCATGTTATAAAACAGTCATTGTGATCTGTCTGAGATCATCACAGGGGGCGTGGTCTATCTTTAAAGCCAGGCTGTTCAGTGTAAGCACATGGTAAGTTCAATGACTACTTCCAGACCACAGGCTGTTAAATGCTCATAAATGTTGTTTAATGTTGTTAATAATTAAAATGCAAGGTGAAATTGAAAGATCAAAAGATGCAATGAACCTAAAATATGTAGTAATATTCTTAATATTAATATTAATATCAATTTTATTAATAAACCGCTTGACACTGTAAACAAACAAATTTAATATAATGAGGTAACAGAATGTAACACGCATGATAATTATTATTTGATGTTCAGTGAATATGAAATTTTAAAACAGCCAGTTTTAAAACGTTCAAACTATAATCCTGTGTGGTGTTGATGTGTTTGTTACTCAGTGGTCTGCTGGACCCACCACATTACTGTTTATTTAATCAATACAGCAATAACAGTTTATGTAAAAATACCAGATGTCTAAAATATCACAAGTGTCCAGCGTAGGGTTCTCCTTTAGCAGCTGTAGCCAGTCAGCAGCCTGTCCATGTTGTCCACCCTCACACACACATATATACAAACACACACAAACACACACACACACTAACAGCAGGTCATGTAGGAGGAGAACAGAGTGAAGGACACAGCACCTCCACACTTTTACTCCCCGCGGGTTCACCAAACACCACATGTGTAGTATAAATGTGTGGGGGGTGAACAGAGTGAAGACACTGAAAACGGGTTATTTTATATGTTCTTCACAGAAAATCAGCAAAGACCAAGAATCTGAGGGTGAAATGATCACAACATTTAATAAATGTTGTGATCAACATTTTTTCTTTCACAACACAACATTTTTTCTTTTAGTAAACACTGAAAATGAGTTGTGGGCGGCACGGTGGCGCAGTGGGTAGCGCTGTCGCCTCACAGCAAGAATGGCCTGGGTTCGATTCCCGGCCGGGTGACCAGGGTCATTTCTGTGTGGAGTTTGCCTGTTCTCCCCGTGTCTGCGTGGGTTTCCTCCCACAGTCCAAAAACATGCAGTCCGGCTGATTGGACATGCTAAAATTGCTCTTATGTCTGTCTGTCTGTCTGCCCTGTGATGGACTGGCGATCTGTCCAGAGTGTATCCTGCCTTCCGCCCAATGACAGCTGGAATAGGTTCCAGCACCCCACCACGACCCAAAAGGATAAACGGTTTAGATGATGTATGTAGTTGATGATGTATGAAAATGAGTCCCACAGACCTGAACACCACAAGAGAGGGTCACATTATGTCTGAAGGTGCCCACGCTGCAAACAATTATGTATTACTGTGTCATTTCAAATGGAAAGTCTTAAAAAGGCCTAAAGTTATGTATGGAAATAATTCTGGATTATATTAATAGGCCAAGTCTGCCATAAAGTGCCCCACATTACCTGAATGATGTTTTCTGCTTTATTTCTGCTGCTGAAAAATGAATAACTTGTACTTAATGGCTGTTTTGACTGGAAATGATCCTGTTGAAAAAAAAAATTGGTTCCTTAAGGTTTGTAATTTGTTTTGCCTTTTTTAATGGGTTGATATCACAATGTAAACGAACCTAAATGTTTAATAAGTGACCAAAGGCTGAGTCTAAATGCATTTGATGGTTTCCTAAAGGGATCTAAAGGTGTTTCACAGGAAACTAGTGGCCTCTAACGGAAACCATGAAGCCAAATCTTCTAATCCTCCGTTTTCAGCAGGGAAAATGAACACTTTTGTATATTATCATCACATATTTAAACTGGACATCAAAGTTTTGCGGATGTAACATCTTTTATTCATATGGAAATGATGTTATGTGTCTGAAGCAGTGTGTAGCAGCGAGGTCTCAGGCCCTTTGACTCACTCAGGCTCTGCAGCCTCTCAGGGCAGCTGTGTCACAGGTTTGCGTAACGCGGCCGCTGAGCGGTCAGGCTCCTCTGCTGGCCTCCTGTGGGACGTTTTAAGCTCGGCGTTGGGGGGTAAACGCCATGCAGAAGCACACGCGCACACGTCATGTCTGAGTTGCGCAGAGCTGCGGCGCTGCGGCCGAACCCCTCCGGGACGTCTGCATCACTACACACAGGAACAGCGCGTTCGAGGATGTAGAGCTTGTGTTAACTACAGCGCGGCAGGCTCGGTATAATCCCACCGCAGCTGCCCACTACAAGTGCTTTTAGCCCATTACAGCAAACCAACATATGCGGCAGTTAATTGTGTGCCTCAGAGGGGACGAACTGCATGTATAATTCCTATGATTTACGTACACCGGAGACCAACGCGCTCGCTGGCGTACGTGTGCGAACGCATGTACGGGCTCACGTGACCCGCTCTGGGTGAGAACACAGCAGCGGGGTTATTTGTGAGGGAGGTATTGTTGTTTTGCTCTACAGAGGCTGTGCTGCATTGCTGTATGTGCTATTTTAACTCTTGGATGTCTGCATTTGTTTTTGTAATTTTGCTGATTGTAACTGCAAAGATACTTACGTGGTGAGTAAAGGGGAACTCCACCAATTTTTTCAAAATTTCCACATAATTCAGTCTATTTTGTTTAGATGTTCTAGTTTGTTTAGACGTAAACAAAGACTGGTCTCGATTCACATTCACCGCTCTGAGTCTGCACTTCTGACTTCATTCATTTGTTATGAGGCTATAACAATGACAAAAGTGTAAACAATCATAATTCATAACTCAAATCATAATAAAATGTCTTCTCTTCTACTTACTCAGACCTTTAAGGTTTAAAGGGCAATTCCGCCAAATTTTCAAAATGTCTGCATTATTCATTGGTTAATTCAGAGCGGTTTGGTGGGAAATGGATCAGATGTCTTTACAGTGGTGGTGATGACTACAACACAAATATAGACATTTTATTTACTATCCAGAACCACCAGTGAACCTACACGAGTCTTCTGAGTTTATATGGAATGTTGATGATGGAAAATAGTGGAAAATCCAGAAAAATAAGTTTTTTGGGGACTATTTTGCCTCACAGCGCCCTGCATGTATCCCTCCACCATGAATGTCTTAAAAAAAACATAATCATAACGCAGTGTCTCAGACATCATAATCATTTCATGTAGTAACTTTCTGTGATGGAGTTTTTAGAGGTGGACGTCTGGTTCCTATCACCACCACTGTGAACAGTTCTGACTCAGTAAGGTTATCTAGAACAGAGCGTTTCACACCAAACCACTCTGAATGTTCATCTTAACCATTCAATTATTCAGAAATTTAATAATTTGGTGGAAATCCCCTTCAAAGAAGCTGACATATTGGGAATTTCATTCCAAATAGCAGTGTAATGATATTTAAGCAGCCTAGTTCTCAGAAACCAAGCAGCCAAACGCTGCACAGTCAAAAACACACTGAACCGCCCAAAGGTGCAGACAGGAGGAGCTGCGCAGCGCAAATCTAATCACTTGTGAAGTCTGTTTTCTCCGAAATGAAAACCGACCTGGATCGAATACAAATCCGAGCCAGTCCCCACCTCATAACTGCACAGCTGTGAAATAATCACTTTGCTAAGCTCTATGGACTTCAATAAACATTTAAGAGCCCACTCCGCAGCAGTTTACAAACACCAAGAAGACTTTGTAGCACGAGCAAAAGATCAATCCCAGAATGCTGGCATTTTATCCTGCGTTTGATCTGCTCTTGTGCCGATCGATATGCTATTTGTAAAACCAGCGTTGGAAATACAAAACCTTCTCAACTATGCTCAGCATTTCACAGCTGTACCAATTAAAAATAACTGTGATCATCCGAGGAAAACCAGAAATTCAGCGGTAGCTGCATGCAGCTCTTTACAGTAGGGTGCAGCTCATCATGATGAATGACATAAACATTAATAAAGGCTTGTAGGTAAAACTCGAACCCTGCTACATAACACTGACATAAACATGTTGTGGTAGATGCCATATGCTGTCAGGAGTCATCATGACAGATTCTGTTCGGTTATATAACAATGTCATGTTATTGTTAATTGTGATGACAGATGGTCATATCACCACCACTGTAAATAACTCTACGTCAGGAAGTTTCTGTACAATGCACCAGTTTTCATCAACACACTTTGAATGACTTCTCATTGATTTATGCAAAAAATTTGAAAATAGGGTGAAATTCCCCTGTAATTATGAAAAGGTGTATTCATGCACCTTTCGCCTGGACAACTGGACCTTAAGGACCATGCTGTACCTTTCAGGGTACACACTTAAAAATGGTAGTTCTTTAGTAAAGGGTTCTTTAGTAAAGAAAATGGTTCTTTATAGAACCATCAATACTCGAAGAACCCTTTCCATGATTAAAGGCTTCCTTGCATCTTGAAAGGGTTCTTCAGACTGATAGAGAATGTGCTGTAGTTGGTTCTATATAGAAGCTTTTTGAAAATGGTTCTATGTAGCACCAAAAAGGGCTCTTCTATTGTTACGATGTGAAGCTTGTTACAATAGAAGAACCCTTTTCGGTGCTATATAGAACCATATACAACACATTTGTATGAAAATATTTCTAATACATGAGAAAGGAATGCAAAATAGAAGCTTTTGGACTCTGTAAGTGGGCCTGATTAGAGTCTGATAAAGAGGTTAGGAGGCCAAACGGTCCTAGACGGTTTCAAGAACCAAGCTCCTTGCCTTAAAGTTGGAACCAGAACGAAGCCTTACCTTCTTGTCGCTCAGTCCCGTCACCTGGTCCACAAACTCCTCCTGGATCATGAAGGCAGCCAGGTTGGCAGTGTAGCTGGCCAGGAAGATGACAGCGAAGAAGGCCCAGACGGACACGATGAACTTGCTGGTGGTGCCTTTGGGGTTCTGCACGGGCACAGAGTTGTTGAAGACCAGACCCCAGAGCAGCCACACCGCTTTCCCCATGGTGAAGGAGGGTCCGTGGGGATCTGCAGACAACACAGCATCAGAATCAGCACCAGCATCGTCCTTCATTCAGCAGCTCCACAGGATTTCCACAGCTCACCTTATCTGAAAGATCACCTTCTAAAATAAAGCTTTTCTGAATAGCTGGGGTCTTACAAATAAAATCTAACCCCCCATACAAACAAAAGACTTTCATTTAATTTAAAAATGGTATTTGCTTGTTTACTCACTATTGTTGTGTTTTAAGTTGAAGCTCTCAAGGCACCTCCACCCACTCACATCTAACATCAGCACGGATGTTTACATTAGACCACCTATTTAAGATTTTTGAATTGTAAATAATGAATATATGTTGCATGTTGTGAAGAATCTGTTTATAAACCACAGATGAGCTTCATTATAGATAAGAGGGAGAAAAATAAACGCCGGAAGACAGTCGTATCCAAATGTTTGGGCACCCCTGTTTAAATTCCATGTGTTGTTGATTTAAGTGTAAATAAGCCAACACATCATCTACAATTACTGTTTATTATACATATTTCTGTATAATAACTTTGTTAACATGTAAACAGAGTCATTCAGAGTGGTTTGGTGTGAAACGCTCCGTTCTAGATAAACTTACCGAGTCAGAGCTGTTCACAGTGGTGGTGATAGGAACCAGACATCCACGTCTAAAAGCTCCCTCACAGAAAGTTACTACATGAAATGGTTATGAATTCACTGCCTGATGTCTGAGACACTGTTTTATGATAGTTTTGGCCTCAAATCTGTTTTATTTTAATCCATTCATGGTGGAGGGATATATGCAGGGTGTTGTGAGGCCAAATAAAACCTAAAAGAAAACCTATTTTTTAGATTTTCCACTATTTTCCCATCATCAACATTCCATATATAAACTCAGAAGACTCGTGTAGGTTCACTGGTGGTTCTGGATAGTAAATAAAATGTCTATATTTGTGTTGTAGTCATGGCAACCCCTGGTTCCTATCACCACCACTGTAAAGAAATCTGAATCATTTTACACCAAACCACTGAATGACTGTTTACATTATATTTTATATACAGTTTTTTTCAATATGTTAAACTAAAATAAAGCAAAAAAAAAAGCAAATAAATAGAAATTGTGCACTAAAATTGGCAGAAAATGCCATATTTAAGTTTATTCCCTGTAGATGATTTTCTTCAACTAAGAAAATCAACACAACATGTCATTTGATTACAAATGTTCAAACAGTAACTAGTGAGGTATGTTGTGAAATGAGGTCATTCAGTGAGTTGTGTCAGTATCTGTATGACAGATTAAGGGACACGGTCACTGCAGTCCTCCCTATATGTTTGACTAACCCCAGCACACGACTCCGACCCCAGTAGTTACATCACTATTTCCTGTCTTTTTAAGACCAATTCTGCATATTTCCTCACAGTGCGAATCAAATATCGAAGTTGCAATGTAATTCCATTAAGACTCAGTACCCAGCAGTGGTGATGTGTAATGAAAAGGCTGGGTTAGTAGTCAGCACAGCTATAGAAAAGCATTTCTTTGAGTGGGTGGAAAAGCAGACACGCCATCAATATAATCTGTCCTTGGGGATAATTACTGCTTAGTCACGGGGCCATTTGAAAACAGAAAAGAGTTTTTAATTTGAGTCATACAATGAAGAACAGCGCCGAGTGATGTGGTACAAAAACACTTTGAATGGTCCTATATAAATCTGAATTTATATTCAGTATGGGCTAAATGAAAATTGGACTTTATTGAAGTGAGCGGGAAGCGTTAATCGTTAATCGTTGCCAACTGACATCCCACAATTTACAAACTTCAGCTCCAAAAAAAGCAGGACAGTATATGAGATGCAAATAAAAACAGAAATAAGTTAATGAACACCGTCACTGTGTCCGCAAATGCATGTTCTATGCACAGCGGAAGCCACAGAAGCCGTATATCAACCGTGTCCAGAAACGCCGCCAACTTCTCTGGGCTTAAGCCCATCTGAAATGAACCGATGCTTAGTGGAAGTGAGTACTTCCAGTTTCAGCCAAAGAAGAAAAGGAGCTTCCAGGTTGTTACCAGCGTAAAGTTCAAAAGCCAGGGTCTGTCATGGTATGGGGGGGGGTATTAGTGGGTACACCTGTGAAGCTTTTTATTTTTTATTATTATTTTCTTTTTCACATACCGCCCCAACTTTTAAGAGCTGAGGTTTTGTACACTGTCTGTCTGAAAGTTTGGACACTCCAGTGTTTCTTTTGATTTGAGGTGTACTCCTCTGGGAAGGCTTTACGATAGATGGTTGGAACATTGCTGTGAGGATTTGACTGAGCATTAGTGAGATCAGGTACTGATGTCGGATGGTCAGTTCTGGATCATTCCAACTCATCTCAAAGGTGTTGGATGGAGCTCCATCACTCCAGAGAACACAGTTCCACTGCTCCACAGCCCTATGCTGGGGTCCTTTATACCCCTCTTGCCCACGCTAAGCATTCGGCATGGTGACCTTAGGCTCATGTGCAGCTGCTCCAGAGTGTCCCATTCTGTTGTGCTTTTCTATGGAGATTAAACAAGCTGGCAGCAAAGGGTGACAGAAAATTAATTGAATTCAATCACTAGAAGGACTGTCCAGATACTTTTGGACATACAGTGTATATACTGCATACTTTCCAAAATCATTGTGAGAACTTCCATAACTAGCTGACTTACAGCACTGTGCAAAAGTAATCACCCTTTTCCAGTCAAAAGATCCAGTACAGGTTATTAATTTTTCAGGAGGTTCAAAAACTGATTAACAGCTACAGAGAAAATGGGGCTCCTAACAACCACCTGGAAGAGCTGGTCGACCCCAAAACTGCCCCCATCAGATAAACAGCACTTAAAGCTTTCATCTCTGAGAGAGAGGAGAAAATCAAGCTGATCAGATCTGAAAACATCCACAGGTGTTTCTGTCCATCCTTCCACTGTGAGAAGACGACTCAGCGCTGTGGGTCTGAAAGGATGTGTAGCTGATCAAGAAGAACCTCACTGAGAAAAGGAGACGGACACATCAAACAAAGAAGCTGAACGATGGACTGACCACCCCAGAGTCCAGACCTCAACACCACTGAATGTGTTTGATTACTTCAGAAAATGATCAACCAGCTTCTAAGACTGAACTTTGGAGGTGTGTCTGCAGATTCTTTGAGGAACTGAAAGTGAGGCTCCTGAAAAGAACAGAAGCTGGAATAAAGGGAGAGAGTGACTCACTAAATACTAAAAATGTCATATAATATTTAGTTTAGTTATATTTCTGTGTGATTGTGTATTTAAATATATATTTTCTGCTTTTTTCTCGACCCTGAAAACTTTGAAAAGCGTGTACTTAATGACTGTTCTAGCTGGAAATGAAAGAAACAGCAGGGCGGCCTCTGATTTTTGCACAGTGCTGTTCAACGGCGAGACACATTTCCACAGACTTGCAGTCCTAACCACAAATGGCAGGTGTGGTCATTTGGGACAGGAGGTCATTGTTGACTGATACTGGGTGTTTAGTGAGTGTAATTGGGCAGGTTTTGTGGCCTGTGGGACTGCAGAGCGAGGAGCAGCCTGAAGGAAGCGGCACTGTCGAGCTTACCTTTGCCCTGGGCCAGATTCCGGTTGAAGCCCAGAGGGCTGATATACTCGAACATGAAGACGGCCATGGCAGTGACCAGCAGCAGCATTACAAACATCATCACCCACACGGACGCACTGAAGGGCTCTGCAACATGGAGAGAGAGAGAGAGAGAGAGAGAGTAAGGATAAAGAGATGGTCAGCGACTCTCTTCCACACAGCCTGCTTGCCACAGCAATAAGTGATTATGGACAAGCCAGGGAGATTAAATAGCTTTTTACTTTGGCGAAGTAAAAGGGAAACTGGCGAATGTCCATCTTGGGGCTTTTCCCAGCTAAACTCCTGTAATTATCTGCCTTATGTTAATTAATGAATGGCTTGCTGATGGAGCGCATTCCTGATATAGGTGCAAGAGAAGAGCCATGAATCCAATAAGCGACCTCTGTACTGCAGCGACGGTCTGGAAGAGCTGCGCACAAACTAATGCATTTCGGTTTTTTGCTGAATAATTTTAAACGTATTTCAGAAAGATTGTTTTTTATCACATACAAGGAACATACAACCTGCACATCTGTGTTACAAATGACAATGCTTACAACTCAACCCATAGGCGAGGGTGTAGCAGACTGAGGGGCTTATGGCAGCACATTCCAGACTTTATTCAAATTCAAATGCAAATTTGAACATTTTAATTTAATTGTGCATTAAAGACTTAATTCAAATTATTCAAAGTATTCTTGACATTTCATTTTAATTGTGTTAATGGTCTGATGGGGCTAGTCACTAAAAAATCAGAAGGTCTGATCGCTAAAAAAGTCAAAATGTAAAACAGAAAGGGAAAGTTCGTCAACGAACTTTAAGTTGGCTTGAAAAAGACAGCTGTTGATGGTTGTTAAAGTATTGCTAAAATGTTGCTAGGCAGTCGCTACAGTATCCAAGGTAGATGGTAACGGTGCTACCTTAAATGCAGTTCCACCTTAAATTCACTGATACCTTAAATTCACTGCCAGCCTAAATTCAGTGCTACCTTAAATGCAATTCTACCTTAAATTCAGTGCCACCTTAAATGCAGTTCCACCTTAAACGCAGTGCCACCCTTAATTTACTGATACCTTAAATTAAATGCAACCGTAAATTCAGTGTTAACTTAAATGCAATTCCACCTTAAATTCAGTGCCACCTTAAAAGCAGTTCCACCTTAAATTCATTATTTGTGCTGTTACGGCTGTAAGCGTGTGAGTCTGTGTGTACTGTGTATGAGTGTCTGTGGGAGAAAAGGGGCTTAATGAGGATTATGACTTAGGAAATTAGCATTTACATTTAACAGAAGGACTCAGATCAAAGAGAGGTGAGATTCATGAGATTACAGGGCTGTACATAAACTTTTTGTGCATGCAACACTGGTGCTATTAAAGTTGTTGTAACACAAATGAATGATTATTTTGAGATAAAATGCAATATAATTTTTTTTATTTTAACTATGGAAAAAACAGAAGCAGCGTGTAAAAGGTTTGTATTTAAAAGTTAATGTTGTGAAATGTGTAAATAATTAATTCTCTCCACAATAATCATTTTTAGCGTGAGAGAAAAAAGGTTTTACTGCTTTTGCTGAATTGGTTATGGTTTTCTTATCTCATATCAACCCATGCGCTGCTGAATGAACTTTAAGTTGTATTATGAAGTGTTATGAATTGTGGCATTATACAGCCCTGCATTATCAGGAAAAGGCTGTGGTGAACGAGCAGTTGAGTTAACTGTACTGAGTGCTGTCTGTGTGCTCGATATTTCGGTCAGGCCCTCCTACGGCCTCAGCAAAGCGATGTGGGGATATCAGATGCAGGCGTGGTGAATGAGTACAATGTTAAGTGAAACAGTGCTCAATATTTTGACAGGCGAGCCTCAGAGGGGGTCTCAGCCTGCTGGCAGTTACCCAGAAATGCAGAGGGAGAGACGGTGCCGTTGCTGCGGGACACCATCACGCTAATGCCGGTTTCCACGAAGGGAACGGAGAAATCGATGACCTCTGAACGCTCCTCATTGATCGTCAGCGAGCCCACGGCCATGACGGCTTTCTTATACACCACCTGCAGCGGGAGACAAAGACGTCTAGACAAAGACTCCGAACTTTGCACGCCAAACACCTGCACACTCACTCGCCCGCACTCGGGGGGACACTCCCCGGACCTCATTTACTTTGGTTCTGTAACTCAGGTCCAACCGCTTCAGTCTCTGCTAAAACAAATCGAATAAATGGCAAATCCTTTTGCCACTTCCACACCTGATTGCCATCAGGCACCGTCTGTCGCAAACGTACTTCCAGCAGACAGAGATTTATGGATTCTCATTCTGAAGCTGCTGTAGACTCGCTGTTCTTAAAACACAATGTCCTTAAAAGCCACTGAGAAAACGTAGAGCTGTATATCACTCGGTTTTCAGTTTTTGACATAATTTGAAAATACCTGTTGGCCTTTACACTGTGTGTAAATTTCATGATGAATGGACCAAAAGAAACCAAAAATTGCTTGGAAAAACGTCTGGTTCCATTGACTTACATTAACAGTAAAGCATGTTTGATCCTTCTCCTGTAAAGTCACCACTGTGGAGATACGAGGTTTTGTTCTGGCAGCAGTGATATGTACAGTATATGGTAACAAATTGGGTTTAATTTAATTGACACGTTTTTAAATGTAGCTTAAAATATTAGCATTGAAGAAGTTTAAAGTTAAATCAGCCAAAGTCAAATTAGAGGGAACGAACTGGGTTTTAAACGTGATGCGAACCCAATTAAATGAAGTCTGTTGTATGTAATGTAGGACACACCCAACGTTTGAGTTAACTTTTTTGATGACTAAGCGTTTAAATGGGATCTCTGTGTTGAATCAATGTACTTAAATTCGTCACCTTTAGCAGGTGGGGATATTGGTGCAGGAGACAAGATTTAATTGGCTCCTGGCTCCATCTATTTGCATATTGGGTGTGTCTTTCACCTTGTTTTACTTACCATCTCTGTGTTGCCTCTTCTCCTACACTTTTAGAAATAAAGGTCCTAAACTGTCACTGGGTCAGCGCCCCTCCGTGGTTTAGAAAATTAAGTTTAGCCCAATTTAGTGAATTGAGCTGCATCAAGAGTAATGTCTTATTTTCAGTGTAAGTCATTTCATTGTGTGAATTTTCATAATTCATTTAAGTTTGAAAAGAGAGTGACTGTTATGAGTGTGGAACAACTGGCACCCAAAAGAAGTTATAATGGCTAGGATATGAGTGAAAAATAGCCAGCCGGCCCTAATTAGCCAGTTATTCTCCAGGGTGTATTTTGTTTTTTCCATCTGAATTTACATGCCCAAATCATAAGGCAAATTATTCAGTAACTGCATAAAATAAATGTAAAGTGTTGGTGTTTTTTGTAAAAGCTCCCCTCAAATGAACAGAAAATGTGTTTTATGATCATAAACCTAATGCTTACAATTTACTGCTGAAAGCCAAAAAAGGCGCTCTTTGTATTTTTTCATAAAATAATTTTTTACAGAGCAGATCACTGAAGAGACGCCATCTGTTTATAGTTTATAGCTCAGATTTGTGAAAAATGGGTCGACTTATAGTAGAAAAAAGTTGTGAGTTCAGCTTCTTTTATTATAAGGGTTTAAAATTACATCACCCATCTATTTGACTGGAAAGAAGACAGTTACAGCTCTCATATGACCCCCACCTTTAGAATGTAGCTTATGAAATATTACAGTTATGAAGAAAAGAATATGATGAAGTGCATTTTGGAGCCGCTGGTTGTTCAACGGAGATTAGCTTTCACTCGTCATTAGCAATGGAAGCACTTATTGTGAAGAACTGATGAAAATAGTAAATGGACACTCTGCTAACTCTGCTAACAGAAATCCTCTCACCTCTCCCACCATGCCATTCCACACGTTGTTGATCTTTTTCCCATGCTTTCCATTGGTCACCAGGTAAAGGTCGTAGGTGAACTTCACGTTCCTGGCGATCTTCTTCAGGATGTCGATGCAGAATCCCTTGCAGCACTTTTTAATATACGTCCCGCCACCCTCAGTGGAGTTACTGTTGGAGAGAGGAGATGAATGAGAGCCCATCCTGGCAGCACCTCAGACTACAGCTGATATTATAGACCCCTATGAGTCTTCAGTGATGTTTTAAGTGGGCTTGAAATTTTGCTCCCTGACAGCATTCAAAATTCTGTCTGAGCATGAAGCAAATGAAAAACGTCTTTCCTAAGATCAACAGAGAACTTCAGCAGATATGAAGGGTCACTCATTTTGAACCCCTTTAGGAGAGAAGAGGAGATTAAACATCAGCGTTTCATTGTAAGAAGTTCTGGAGATGAATGAGAGCCTGAGGTCTCCCTTCTGCACTGCCAGACTGCTGAAAGACTGCTGAGACGTAGACGCGAGCGATAAAAGGAAAAGATAAGATTTAGATAAGACTGGGATAGAGGTCTGCTGACTGACCAGAGCCAAAGTATCGGGTTTTGGGATGTTTTTTCATTTGCAATATCAGGATTTGAGTTCTAATAAGTGATTTTTGATGTGATAGAGCTCAACAAGGCCCAGCAAATATATCGGATTTGGGGCGGGTTAGGATCAATGTCAGACTCGGGTTGAGCTCAGGTTTGTTTTTTAAAGAGTGATTTTTAGTGTAGTTGAGCCTGACAGGGCCTGACAATATATCAGCCTTTGGACCAGGTTTGGGCCACTTTTCCAAGTACAACATCAGGCTCAAGTTTAGCTCAAGTCTAATGAGTCTAATGATATTTGTTATGTAGTAGACCCCAACTAGGCCTGATAAAATATCAGGCGTCGGGCCAGGGTTGGGCCACTTTTTCATGTACAGCATCAGGCTAAGGTTGGGCTCAAGTCTAATGAGTCTAATGAGTTATTTCTTATGTAGTAGAGCCCAACTAGGCCTGATAAAATATCAGGTTTTGGGCCAAGTTTGGGCCACTTTTCCATGTACAACATTGGGCTCAGGTTAGGCTCAAATCTAATGAGTTTAATGAGGCCTGATAAAATATCAGGTTTCGGGCCAGGTTTGGGCCGATTCTACATATAAAACATTGGGCTTTCTAATGAGCAATGTCTTATGTTGTAGAGCCCAACTGGGCCTGATAAAATGTCAGGTTTTGGACTGGGTTTGGCCCATGAAGTTTTGTTCATGTTTATAGCTCACAGGAAGTCATACTTTGCCCGAAACCCCATCTATAAGTCTTGCGGATGAAAATGTTGGTGACTATTGACTTCTATCCTTTCTTAGCTCCAATTCTAAACTAAAGAAGCAAAATATCAACTCCAAACTTGTCCTGGCTGATCAACTACGTCTGGGATGAGTGGAAAACTGTGTACACGTGATTTTTCATCATACTAAAGGAATCAAATGTACACATTTAAAGAAGATGGTTGTTCCAGGGCTCTTTAGTAAAGAAAATGGCTCTATAAAAAACCATGAACCCTTTGCAAGGTAAAAGGCTTCTTTTGCATAATGAAAGGGTTTTTCATATTGATGGAGAATGGGTTTTGTATGGTTCTATACAGAAACTTTTTTAAAAGGGTTCTATATAGCACCAAAAAGGGTTCTTCTACAGGCTTGACATTGTAACAATAGAAGAGCTCTTTTGGTGCTATATAGAACAGTTTTCAAACATGCTCAGTATAGAACCATCTACAGCGCATTCTCCATCAATATAAAGAACCATTTAATGACGCAAAGAACCCTTTAATCATAGAAGGGTTTTTTTGAGTGTTGTGTTCTATATAGAACCATTTTCTTTACTAAAGAATTCTTAAACCGTCTTTTTTAAGAGTGTACATTGAACCGTTTAAACCAGTAACTTGAATCTGAAAATAAAATAAAACAGATTACAGTGTGTGCTGGAGTGTGATGTGTATCATGCTCTTTCAAATTTATTGGCTGATTTTTTGGAAGCAAAGTCATGTTTTTCTATTTTTTCTGCCATTATCATGAAGAATGACAAAAATAATATAAAAATAGAAATCGTACTCTAAGGGTTTGCTTATGCCAGGGGTCGGCAACATGCGGCTCTTCTACTGTCCTGTTGTGGCTCCACAGCTGAATCAGATTTGTAGGTAAAAATAAAGCTCTGCTGATCGTTCAACACAGTTTAACAATAAATGGTCTTAAACGCTGGACTTAATGCCTATATGTGGTAATTCACCCTTTAACCCTGAACGTTGGCGCACAGACTGATGGTCACCACAGCAACGCAGACAACAATCTGGCCTGGCTAGTAGCTAAAAAATATGGCAAAGAGAAAGATTTAAGACGAACGTTGATAATTTAGAGACGAATGGACTTATTTGCATTTATAATCCCTCCAGCTGGTTTCCTGATACGTTTAATCTGCAGTGAGAAACTGACAAACACTAAAAAGTCATGAAAAGCCATGAGGCTGAAGTCGCTTCTCATTCCCAGCTTCTCGTTTGAATTCTCCCGTTCCACCTTAAATGGTGCAGCAGTTCCATCCTGGCACCTCAGGCATGATTTAAGGTGGAACGGGAAAATTCGAACAAGAAGCTGGGAATGAGAAGCGACTTCAGCCTCGTAAAAAGTCAAACGTTGAGAGACTTTTAAGGAAAGGTTTCCTGCTGGAGATGTGAAAAAAGCAGCTATAGCTGAGCTACAGCTTAAAGCAGAGCAAAGTAAGTCTGCGTTTTCTTTAATATTTTTATCCTATACTAGTACATTAACAGATACTGAGACATATTTACGGCCAAGATGGTAAAATGGACATAAAATGTTGTGGCTCCCAAAGTGGTTTGATTTTCATTGGAAGGACAAAATGTTTTTTCTTAACATCTGGGTTGCGACCCCTGGCTTATACCATTCATGGCAAGAAACACATAATATGACGGTTGTGGCTTATCTTATCATACAATAAATCGGATGTTCTGTGGGTGGACAAATATGTCCTGACCACACAGTGACCAGTCAGGTCGCACCAGGTTTGGACAGACAGAGTTTGAAGCGTATATAGCAGTGAACCATGAGCTGATGTAGCATTTCTGCAGACCGTTCCTGCTTTTATTCACACAAATCGTGAGCAGAGTGTGTGCCTGGAAGGCTCCCACTCAGCAGGTCGAGTTAAGAGCTGCAACAATCATCTGCAGCTCTGTTCACTCGCATTAAACACGGCTCCTGTTACAAATCCACAGAGCGCGGCGCATGCACGCTTACGGCTGCGGGAACACCTCCGACACGTTCCTTTAGCTCCGCGATGAGTCAAGGGCGATATGGATTAGGGAATTCTCAATGAATTATACCCAACAGCAGCGGAGAGGCTATGACTAAAACACATTCTGTTGGACGGCAGCCTCGCTGTGGTGCCAGCCGCGAGCTGGGATTAGCCTAGAGTAGGTACAGTACGTTAAGGCTTGACTGAGAGCGCGTTCCACCGCTGGCACTGGAAAAATCTCTTAATTATGATGAATAGAAGGGCTTTCCCTCGAGAGGCTCTCCAAGGGGCCGTCAGGAGAAAAAAATAAAAAGCGCAGCTGAAAATCGGAGGCGTCTGGAGATTTCTGGCTGTGGCCAATCTGGGCGGCTTTAATTGCAGAGGGGCTCTCGCGCCGTACTGAGTGAGGAGAAACACAATTCTATTTACAGGGCAATCAAGATCTTTTTTTCATTAGGAAAGAAAGAGAGAGAAGGAGACAGATAGCGAGCAAGAGAGGTTGAGACACTGTGTGCTTGCCTGAATCACAGCCCTGGTAAGTTGCGACGGGTATTTTATCCACTTTGGAATTTTTATTTGCATATTCTTTAAACACACATCATTGGAATATTCCAACGAGAACATATTCCATATTGCTATGATAAACACAGAAACACAGATGTTTAACAGTCATTTAGGTGATGCGTACCCAATAATTTGGCTGATTTTCTGATTTATTTCTATTTCAGGCGTGTCTGATTTAACGGTGCCAAAGATAACTCACAAAGCTTACACCTTACCAATGTATCATCTTTTTACTGAAATATCATCTCTACATACAGCTCTGCTTATGAGCCTTACAAAAAAAGTTGGCGTAGAACATAAAATGGTAAACAGAAAATAAAAACAAAGCAGTGATTTGTGAATCCACCTGCATTTAAATGAAAACAGTACAAACGTTTATCTTATCAACTTCATTGTTTTACTTGCTCTCTCTGAAAAAGCTATGATAAATAGTAGTGAAATGTTTAAAGAACATCTTAAACATGTGATGTCACTCTAAACATATGTTAAAATTGCGTCATGCTATGTCTGGAAACGCCGCCGACTTCTCTGGGCTCGAGCTGACTGATGGACTGATGCTCGGTAAAAACGTGTCTTGTGATCTGATGAATCAACCTTTCAGATTGTTTATGGAAGTAATGGACATCAGGACATCCTGAGTGTTACCAGCGTAAAGTTCAAAAGCCAGCGTCTGTCATGGTATGGGGGCGTATTAGTAGGTAACTGTGTAGGCGCCATTAATGCTGAAAGAATTATACACACTTTGAGGCAGCATACAGTCACTACCAAAAAAACAAGCATCTACAAATTTTATTGCAAGTAATTTTGGAGCATTTCTATTGGTCCATTCGTCCTGAAACTTTTACACAATGTAAAGAGCAGATGCTGTGCTCAAATGATGTAGAATTTTTTTTTTGAAATGGAGATGCTTTTTTTGGGACAGCAACGATATGCTACCTTCTAGACCACGTCTTTTTCAGGGATGCCCAACATGACAGAGGCAAGCCTCATTCTGCATGTGTTACAAAAGCATGGCTGGGTAAGCAGACAGAGTGGGCGCTAAACTGACCTGCCTGCAGTCCAGAACGTAAACAGATGGTACATCATAAAGTGCAAAATACGGCGAAAAGACCTCCCACAGTTGCACTTTAGCTGTTTTAGTCTGTTGCCATCATGAGATGCGAGCATTTCGAATGAGTGAACACTGAAAGCTTCAGAAAGCCTTGTTTCTCCCATAACTACCAACTTCTTTTGGCCCAACATCACAGACATTCAAAATCACACCACTTCATTTCAGTTTAATTTAACCCCC